TACGGTGACGCGGAAGATAGATATCTTAAATTGTGTTCCGAAGACGAACAAAGCTTTTACGGGTTTGGAACGACATGAGGGTAAGTGATTAATGACAACATTTTCATTTTGGGGTGGAGTTAACCCCCTTTAAGTATTGAACAATATTTGAAGGCTACATACTAAAGTTTTCATGTGTTGTAGCATTAATAACGAACACATTTTTATTTTCAAAAAGTTAACTGGTAACACTTTAGATTAGGGAACACGTATTCACCATCAAGAGTTTTCCCTCAATAAACTCCTACTTTGACCCAATACCTAAACTTACAACTAGCTTACGAACTACTAATAAGCAGCAGATTAAAGGACCTTAAAAAAGGTCATGCAGAATAAGGCATTAGTATGTGCTTTAATCAGCCAATATGCTAGTAATATGCATGCTAATAAGTAACTAGTTAACCGTGAGAATTGATTCTTAAAATAAAGTGTTACCAGCTAAATAAACTACAATAGTGTTTGCTGTGATAGTGAAGCTGGTACTGAGAGCCATAGAGCTTTACTGGTATTGGTACAGACTACTGAAATGTTGGTACTCTAATCCCAGTGAGCTACAGCACTGTTGCTGACTGATCGTTTCTCTCACGTGTTTTGTTCTCCAGTGCTCTGCACCTCTTGGGACGGCAGAACTGACCAGCCCACCTTTCTCAGGATGTCCATCCAGCTGCAGCTCAAGTCCTGTCCCCACGTGATGGCCTGACACCTGACGCGTCCGTCTGTCCCCTTCATAGGAATGAATCATAGAATCAAACCAGCCCGAGCCTTCTGGGTGTCCTTGATTGTGGATTTTGTGGGGTTGTTCTTTTTTTTTTTTTTTTTGCTTTGTTTTTATAAATGTTAATTTTATATGGGCCAACAGTCACTTCACAGAAATCTTGGATGAGCAGATAACTGCTGTTCAACAGGACATTGTTGTTGTTTTCCCTTTTGGAGTGAATGTTTTGTGAGTTCTGATACTCTTCCACTATTCCAAACTCTTGATCCAAAATGTACAGTCTCACAACAATTATTATTATAATTTTTTTTTACACCTCTTGTTTTTCTGAGCGTTCTAAAATGGCATTAGATAGAGAATGGAATGTAAATATCCAATGATACTATGGAAAATGATTACTCTCTCTGTTCCATGCGTGTAATGTTTTATCCTCAGAAATACAGATCATATTTTCACCAGGTACTTTTTTTGTATTGCTTATCTCCCGTCTGTTGCTTGGTTTTTAAAATCTAGTGTTGGGGAAAAAAAGTTTGCTCTACCTCTGGAATTTTTTGTAGGTCTGCCATCCTTAAAGATGGCCCTCAATAGGGTTTTTTTTTTTTTTTAAAGAAGGAAAAAAAAAGTGGATTTGAAGTTTTAGACTATTTGTGTCAGAGCAGGACAATAATTCTCACGCTCCTATTCTTTGTTTTATGTTTCTTCTCTTTATTTTTTTACTCTAATTGTCTCTAAAGTTCTCCAACCAGGCACATTTGTAGAGTTTGTCATTTGTCTGAAATAAAGGAATTGCCATTTTTTTCCAGCGTGGTATGATTTTTAAAATGGTGTCAGTACTATATAATGAAAATCATGTCTGGATGAATTAATTAAAAGCATATACCAACCGTATAGGCCTACAACTGATGTTTTTGTGCATTGTCCGAATGAGACTTTGCATTACACTAAACTACTGGCAATGGTGGGATGTGCTTAATTATTGTGAAAGTGATGTAACCAGAGTCTCTATGGCCCAAAAAAACAGGCTTGATTTTCTATATGCAAAATATAATTTTCTGATTTTGATTATAGGATGACATACTGTCCAGATCTGTTTCTCTTTTGTGTGAGATTGAGTAATTCTAATTCTATAGAATGCCATTGTACGGTGTATTATCAATTGCCAATCTAAATCATTAGAAGGGGGTTAAAGATTGATTGCAGACATGTTAAAAAAAATCGATCACTTGGACCTATTGCAGTACATTTTGTCCTGTGCTCCTGCTCTGTTTGCTCTAAACATGCAATGCGAAATGTGAAAAGTTCAGCTTGCCTCGGATATTTTTGCACGATAGTAATGACTTCACACCTTGTTTATGATAAAGAAAAGTTCAGATGTCCGAATGAGACTTTGCATTACACTAAACTACTGGCAATGGTGGGATGTGCTTAATTATTGTGAAAGTGATGTAACCAGAGTCTCTATGGCCCAAAAAAACAGGCTTGATTTTCTATATGCAAAATATAATTTTCTGATTTTGATTATAGGATGACATACTGTCCAGATCTGTTTCTCTTTTGTGTGAGATTGAGTAATTCTAATTCTATAGAATGCCATTGTACGGTGTATTATCAATTGCCAATCTAAATCATTAGAAGGGGGTTAAAGATTGATTGCAGACATGTTAAAAAAAAAATCGATCACTTGGACCTATTGCAGTACATTTTGTCCTGTGCTCCTGCTCTGTTTGCTCTAAACATGCAATGCGAAATGTGAAAAGTTCAGCTTGCCTCGGATATTTTTGCACGATAGTAATGACTTCTCACCTTGTTTATGATAAAGAAAAGTTCAGGTATTGTCCGACACCGTTTTCATTGTAGCATGCATATATGTTAAGACCCCCTGTGGTGTTTTAATCTTAGTTACACATTTGCGAGATATTTGCATTAGACATTAATTGTGGCTTAATTGGCCAAATCAGTATAAGGTCTGGTGCAAAATACAATCTTAAAATAAATAACTGTTCACGAAATACATGTAAATGGAATTCATCCAAGTGCAAACATGTCTGAGGCAACAGTTGAACTTTTCACATGTTGCACTGCATAAATGTGCAGAGCAGGAGCACAGGACAACATTTACTGCAATAGGTCCAAGTGTTCGACTTTTCATTCATTCACTTTAGTTTAGTTTTAATATTTTAAGTTCCGCTACTTTTCTATAAACCGAATACTTGCGCATCTTTTGCGCATCTGTGGTCAGCTTGAAGCCAAAGGGGCCCGACACAATCCGCAAGTCACACTACTACAGAGCGGCGTTTTAGCAAATAGCAACAAAACAAGCGGGAGAAAGTAGCTTGCCCAACACAGAAACCAAAAGCTAAAGTGTGTGTGTGTGTTTTACGTCCGAGGAGAAAAGCCTGTTATATCTGCAGTTGATATACAGCCTAGTGTACTTTGTACAGAGACCTCCTGCACTCTCCTCACTTCTGCTGATATGAGCGTTGACTAAATTAAAGCAAGACTGTCTGATTGCATTTACAAGGACTTTCAACTGAGTGGACACGAGGACTTTTCAATAAGTATAGTTTAACTATTCACATCATGACAAAATGCAAGTTTCGAGAAAAAAATGTTAAGAGACAATATTACAATTGGTCAGAAAATTGTCATAAAATAAGGAACTAAATATCTACAACATGTTTAATGAATTGTTTAATCGATAATGACTTATTTAAATAAATAAAAAAAACAGGTAAGTGAAATAGTTTACTGTTAGTTAAGTTTTGTAGTATGCTGTGCACAGTATGCAACTTAACTAATCAGATGGCTGCGTTCTAAAAACATACCGAGTAGGTACTTCTTTGAATGAGTACTTTTTGACTAAAAAAAGAGTTCTGTATGGTTTTATTTTGTATGACTATAATCCAGCCTTACTACAGTAAATGTGTCATGTTGTCATTGTCTCGTGACCTAGCAGTTGTGTCATGCATTCACAAATGCTCTCCCATGGCCTCATGGGATTGTAAATTGTGCACTAAATGCACACTCCAGAAGATCATTCGGATAATTTTAATAAATACTGAATTTGGACGTACTAGTCTTTTCACATACTTAGTGTAGCATGCCTAGTGTTTTGCCTATCAAATAGTAGGGATGTATGCATATTCGGATGCAGCATGTGTGGAATACTGTAACCCGCTATGCAATGCGCTCAACTTGACCTTTTTCCACTGTGACCAGTGAGCCAGTAATACCACACTTCATCTGTCACTGCATTCTACAGTGCCCTCCACTAATATTGGCACCCTTGATAAATATGAGCAAAGGCGGCTGTGAAAATAAATCTGCATTGTTTATCCTTTTGATCTTTAATTTAAAAAAAGTCACAAAATTCTAACCTATCATTGAAGTTAAACAATCGAAAGTGGGGTGCATATCTCATTGTGAAATAAATGCGTTCTCTAGTTCATGTTGGCCACAATTATTGGCACCTAATTATTGCAACGTCCTTTTCCCAAGATAACAGCTCTGAGGTCTCACCTATAATGCCTGAAGAGTTTGGAGAACACCTGACAAGAGGTCAGAGACCATTCCTTCATCCAGAATCTCTCCAGATCCTTCAGATTCACAGCTCCATGTTGGTGCTTCTTCAGTTCACTTCACTCATTTTCTACAGGGTTCATTCAGCTCAGAGGACTGGGATGGCCATAGCAAAAGCTACATCTCTGCAATTCTCCAGCTGTGATCCTTGGAGAGTCTTTGGCCACTCAAACTCTCCTCCTCAGCGTGCATTAGGACGATATAGACACACGTCCTCTTCCAGGCAGTTTTATAACGTCTTTAGTTGATTGGAACCTCTTAATTACTGCCCTGATAGTGAAAATGGGGATTTTCAATGCTTTAGCTCTTTTCTTACAGCCACTTTCTGTTTTGTGAAGCTCAACCATCTTGTTCTGCAAATCAGAACTATATTCTTTGGTTTTACTCCTTGTGATGGATGATTAAGGGAATTTGGCCTTTGTGTTCCTCATATTTATAATCCTGTGGAACAGGAAGTCGTGGCTGGACAGTTTCATGCTCCTAGTCACCCTGGTGTGCTAAAAATGTAAGCATGAATGGGAAAATACTTCAGAGATATTTTACTCTTAAAGGGGTCATATGATACATGCATTGGAGAAAAACATTTATTTCATCATGAGAATTTCTCCCCACTTTCGATTGTTTAACTTCAATGATAGGTTAGCATTTTGTGAATATTTTTCCCCACTTACTTCTCTCAGATCAGTGAGGCCGAGCTGACGAAAGTCCTGCGCTCAGACAGCGATACTCCCATGCCGATGCTGAAAGAGCGTCACCAGGCCCTGACAGAGGCCGGCCGAGTGCTCATGGAGCATGGCGGATCCTTCCGGATATTCATGAGTCGCAGTGAGAATGATGCAGAGAAGATGGTGAAGTACATTGTGGAGAATATACCGTCATACAGAGACGAAGCCATGTACGAGGTAAAAATATTCACGTACGATTTCAGTTTAGCCTTTTAAAGGCAGGGCAGGTGATTTAGACACTTTTTGTTGTGCTGATTGAAAGTCTCTACACCTGGTAGCAATCAATAAGTTAGGTTGTCTAAATGTATTTATATGTATTTCTATTGTCTGTGGAAGGCACAGGACCATCAAATGTTTGTCCAATCATATTCCTCTGTCCGAGGGCTACGATAGGCTGTTTTACCTGCCTGTCAGTGTATGCATTTGCATACCTCCGTGTGACCCTGTTCACACAGACATGATACGTCATCAGAGCATTCATTACACTACTGCAGAACGAGCGAGAATGGAAGGCGTTATTATTGTAATATTATGTGCGTCATACTGTAATGTTTTCTCGCCAGTGAATGAGACATGAGGTAACCTGACAGCGTTGCATTTATCCGTCTCTTATCGTGTCGCTGCTTAGCCTCTGGTCTGCCTGAGTGCATTCATGTGTTTTGAAGGAGGTGTGACTTTGGAGAGTGATTTGCCAGAAAGGTGGGATCTTATGCTTTCAAAGCTAGCTTGCTATTGCTAAGCTCTCCAAAATCACCTACCCTGCCTTTAAAGGATGGATTCAGATTAGAACTAGCTCAGCTTTAATAATAAGTGCGCTTAATTGTATTGAATGTGCATTTGGTGTGTACTTCAAATTAGGGCTGTGCAAAAAATCGAGTGTGATTTTCATGCGCATCTGGTCAGTAAAGTAACTGTGATTAACAGTAACAGTAATCTTGTGATTAGTAGTAAATCTCCAGAGCTGTAGTTCACTGTCAAGCTACACAAAATCGCATTCAAAATCGCAGGCGATTCATTGCCGATTTTGAACGTGATTTTGCGTAGCTTGTCAGTGAACTACGGCTCTGTGTAGTAAATGCTGCTCCATCTGAAAGCACGTGCTGGAGATTTACTACTAATCACAGGAGCAGCTTTACTGACGAGATGCGCATGAAAATCACATTTGATTTTTTTGCACAGCCCTACTTCAAATCTTTAAAAGTGTATTTATAAAATGTAAAAAATTTTAACATTTAAAAATGTAAAATGCCACTTAAGTGTACTTAAAGAGAGACACTTTCATGACTGTTTCTTAACACACTTAAGTACACTTTTAAAAAGGCACTTTGTAACAATGTCAAATTAAAAGTTTACTTTAAAATATATTTTCCCCCTAATACTTTACAGAAGAACACTTATTTTGATGTGCTGACTAACATACTAAAACACATGTAAGGTACTTGATTATAATATTATTAACTTTAGTGTGTTATTCAAATATCTAGAGTACTTATAATTTAAATGTACTAAATTGCAACATCAATACTTATTGTCATTTGCACTTATATATTGTTGCTCTTTTGTTAGTTTGGACTGCTTTTATTGTCCTCATTTGTAAGTCACTTTGGATAAAAGCGTCTGCTAAATGACTAAATAAAATAAATTACTGATGTGTAATTACAAATATATTTTAACACATGACACATTTCAATAGAAATTACATTTAATTTTAGTTTACTATAAATGCTTGTCAGTACATTCAGCAGTACACTTGAACTATATTTCAAAGACAATATAATTAAATATGAAATTACATATAAAGATGTACTACATAAGTCAGTCAAAAAAGCACTTTTAAGTTCAACTTAATATATTTATTAAAAATGTAAACTACAATGCATTTTTAGTAAGCAATTTACATGCTTACTTAAGTCCTACTTAAAGGGATAGTTCACCCCAAAATGACAATTTTACGTTAATTTATTCACTCTCAGGCCATCCAAGATGCAGGTGATTTTTTGTTTCTCTTCAGTAGAACAGTAAAGAAGATTTTTAGCTGAAATCGTGGTCTTTGCTGGTTCATAAAATGCAAGTCAGCATCCATCTTTGAGAATTAAAAAAAGAAGCATATCAAGGAACACAAAATTAATACCCATGGCTGCTGGCGATATATTAAGGTCTTATGAAGCGAAACAATCGGTCTGTGCAAGAAACTGAATATTATATTTATAACATTATTACCTGCAATCCACAGCCTCAGGCTAAATCAGATTCTTTTCCATGAACTGGTTCTTTCAGACAGTTTGTGTCAGTGTCAACCTCACATTTTGTTGATATTGTAGGGTAAGAGGATCTCATTTTATAAGAGAGCTCAGATCCTTGTGGCAGACTTCTGGGGCATCATGGAGGCACGAGGGGAGGGACACATCCCTAACCTGGACTACCTGACCATGTTCGCTGACTACAGGGTGCCACAAGGCCTCGTGTACCTTGGCGCTTTACGCTACTCTGATGGCCTCATGGAGACATTGAAAAACGGTTTGTTGCACCTTTTTGATAAAATATAGAAAAGAAAAGTTGGAAAATGTACTTAGTAGTCATACAAATTCTACCATTAAAATAGATTTCATGTTCGCTAAACAAAATATACTTTAATATTCGTATATAATAATATACTATGTAAAAATTGTAGATATCTTATTTCGAGTGTTGGGTGGAACATGGACATTTCTTGACAGGTTTTGCTATATTAATCCTTAAAGTCCCCATGAAATCAAAATTAAAGTTTTTTGGGTGTTAGTATCAATATGTTAGTCTTAAGGTTAGTGTGCTCCAAAACAGAGACACAATTCGCATTTAGAAGATATAAGCATTCAAAGCTTGCAGTTCGTCACTTCCGCCAAAGCGGCTCAATGATGTCACATCGTACTTCAGCTTCTCATCAAACTTTCTGTCCAATCAAATGCTCTCTAGAATCCAAAGCCCCGCCCCCTGCACTATAAAATAGACGCTGAAGCCGCGGCTGAAACCGGTCACTTGTCCACAGAATTAGTATTTTCTGTACAGTGAATGGCACGTAGTGCACTATATAAGGGACAGGGAATGATTCAAACAGTGTAAATATGCTTTCCATTGAGGGAAAAAAGAAGTCTGGTTTCTATATTTTATAGGAATATGGATGAGATTGTGGCTGGCATACCCTGTCAAATGCAGCTTTACGGAGCTCAACGGCTCTGAACGGCTCTAGCCCAAGTTGTGATATAAACGAACGCTATTGGCTATTTTAAAAAGGGGCGGGGCTGCTTGATATGTCCCACCCTGTCTTCCTGTTTCAGTTAAAGGGGTCATATGATGCTTTTTTAAAGATCATTATTTGGTGTATTTGGTGTAACAGAATATGTTGACATGCTTTAATGTTCAAAAAACACATTATTTTTTAAATACTGTACATTATTGTAGGTCCTCTATGCCCCGCCTCTCTCAAACGCTTCGTTTTCTACAAAGTCCCTCCTTCCGACAAGCGCAGTCTGCTCTGATTGGCCAGCTGACCCAGTGCATTGTGATTGGCCGAACACCGCAAGCACTCGTCGGAAATGTAACGCCCCTTACCATAATCGTGAGCTTCATCTTTCAAAATAAATGTAAAGACAGTAAATAATGTCATTAGTTTTACCCTCAGTTCAAGCCTGAAAGGGGAACAGAGTCGCGTGACAGACACAGTGATGAATATGTGTTTGTAGTACACAAGCCACGGTTAAGACAGCTGACTCCACTGTGATGTGACTCCCTCTCACTCTCTCTCTCTCTTGCTCTCTCTCTCACACACACACACACACACACACACGCGCGCGCATTTGAACAGTCAATAGCAAACACTTAAACTAATAACAAAACAGTAGCTGATTCAGAAGCACCAGATTGTCATAGCAAAGTCAGAATTACCTCCTCTCCCAGGTTCACGAAACGGTCGTCTATAAAATGCATTGCTGTTCTGTTGTAAGTAATCTTAAAGATTCCTAAATGCATCTACTTTCGGAAGGCCAAATAAAGTGCTTCTGCTTTCACCTAGAAACACACAGCGTCTCCCTGACATGCTGCTTCAACACTAACTGCGGTTACTGAAACCATGCCACCTTTCTTTGCGTGCACATTTGGGCCTCATTATGCAAATATTTCCACATAGTGAGGTAGATATGTGGAGGCGTGTTAGAACGAGCCGTTTTAGGGGGGTGTGGCAGAGTCTTAACTTTGATAAAGAATATCTCTTTGGTTTTGAGACTTTAGTCTTTGCAACTTCAGGGATCTTATCTATGCACAATCAGCTTGTAACACTCCAAAGAGAAAGGAAAACTTGAAATCGCATCATATGACCCCTTTAAAATGACGTCAACACATAGAGTAACGCTGCGTGTTTCTAAGCATTTCAGGGGACCTTTAAATAATGGACAGGTAATCTCATCAGTATTGTTGTAGTGATTGTTAGTTCTTTCACAGGTGAAGTGTTGAGCTCAGGTGAGAGGAGAGAGGTGGAGATCAGGGGTTGCTCCATCTGGTGTGTGGAGAGAATCCGGCAGCATCTCTGGAAGCTTGTGGAGGAGAGAGACGGGAAGAGCTGCCACATCAACTCGGCTCTAATTGACTTTTACCTGTGGCCATATGCTAAAAAACACCACAAAGAAATGGCACATATTCCAATACATCACACACGCTGCATCTACTATTGACAGCATCAGTTCTTTTGTGTGTCATGCTGTTTATACCTTTAAATAAAGTTATGAAAATGAGGTGATGTACATCTGTAATGTTTAAATGTATAATTATGCATGTATAAATTATTTAGTTAGCATGAGAAAACAGAGGTGAAACAGCCACATACTACAAAAGTTTTATAAACATAAAGTTAGCTTTGAGTAACATACATTTTAAATACAACTTTGTTAGTTACGTTCCCCATTTTTTCTCTGCCAACGAAAATATTTCACAGGAGAATCACGTGTTGTGCATCTCAGTCATGATGCCTCCTTCTTGAATGAATCTGTGGTTTGAAAGAATCAATTGCACCGAACACAGACAAGATGAGTATAACAAATTCTTTATTTCTTTTCAGTAAGAAATCATAAAGACATATTCATTTTCATGCACACAGTGGGCTCCAGTGTTTAACCACATTTGATTGTGATGTCTAGAACTTTATACATTAACTAGTTGGTTAAAAGCAATTGCAATTATAAAAGTGGAGTCTGTTCACATGTTTGCATATGCCTCTTGGTTTGATAACGTGCAATGACATACATTTTCAGTTATTTGTGTAAATGCAATGCAAAACATTGGCATTTTGTCCCCCCCCCAATCACCATGTCCCTTTAGGGGCTCCGCAGAGAACTAGTAATCCAGATCTGGAGATCTGAAAAAGTGTGTATCTGGATCAGTGTGATTCAATCCAATTTTGCTTTGGAAAACCGGCACAAAAGTAAGATGGGTTACCTGATCCTGGATAGCAAAAACATGGGATTTCCAAATCTGATCCAGATTAAACGTTTTGAACAACTGGCCCCAGAATTTAAGACCGTTTTGATGGTTGATACCAACTTGCAGACCTACTAAAACAAGAAATGTGTGTAATTGGACATTTGTCTCATACCAGTTAGTGAGATATTACCCTTATGCATTGATTTGATTTGAATTGATTTCTGATAACTTTGCAAATTTATTAAAAAGCAAAAAAACAAAACAAATATCACATTAAAACAGATATTGAAATGTAGGTCAGGTGCATTTGATTTCTCTAGATCACCTTTGAGAAGTTTCTACACTTTAACTGGAGTGAATCTGTGTCAAATTCAGTTGATTACGTCTGTGAAAGGCTATAAAACCTGCTGAATTGAAGTGTATACCTGTGTTTGTCCAAATAATTCAAAATCTAACTATATTTAGAGTTATGTAATCATATTACAGATCTCCCTATTTCTCTCTCTCTAAAAAAAAAATACTGATGAATGTTTCTGGTGATTAAAGAGATGTTTACGAGTTTAAAAAAAAGTCTCTCTCTTTCTCTCTCTCTTTTTCAATAAAATGTTTTTCAATGAAGTTCAATGAAACGTTGCTCTTTGGCCATTAGATGATTCTTTTTTAATTGACCTGAGGAGGCTGCTGAGTGGCTGTGTCCCCGGCCCTCACAACCACATGAGGGTGGCAGACACGCTTGCATCACGAACATTATTGTGCTAGGTTTCGGAAAGTATCATTTGCACATTTATGCACTCATAATAGTAAGAAATGCCACTAAACCCACTTCAGTGAATGTCTTACTACACTCTCCCATTCTGTCTTCTACTACCCCACCTTTCAATAAGAATCTGACAGTTCAAAACCTCTCTTAAAGGGACAGTTCACCCAAAGAAATGACAATCCTGTCATAATTTACTCACCCGTGTGTCGTTACAAACCTGCATGAGTTTCTTTTTTCTGTTGAACACACACAAACACACACACAAAGAAAATTCGAAGAATGTATGTAACCAAATAGTTGAGAGAAGCCATGGACTTTTCACACACACACACACACACACACACACACACACACAAACATGTCTGGTGAGCTATCCTTGTGGGGACTCTCCATAGGCGTAATGGTTTTTCTACTGTACAGACCGTATATTCTATTGCCCTACACCAACCCTACCCCTAAACCCACCCCTTACAGGAGACTTTCTGCATTTTTAGATTGTCAAAAAACTTAATTCTGTGTGATTTATAAGCGTGTTTACCCGTGGGGACCTCAATTTAGGACCCCACCGTGACACGAGTCCCCACGAGTCTGTGTGTATTCAGGTTTAGGTCCCCACCAGGATATATAAACCAGTACACACACACACACACACATATATCATATCCCTCTGGTTTACACAATGAAAGGTCTACCTTACAAATTTACACCCAGATCCTAGCCTTTCCCTGTGTTTATTCGGTCAAGAACTACAAACAAGAAATAAAACGCGTTAGAAAAACTACAAACGTGGCGGATGCGTGCGATCGACGGTTAGGTTGAGTGGTTTACAAAAAGGGGCTCGAGTTACTAATAACCAACATTTAACCTGGTAAAAAAAAAAACATTTATTTATTGTTATCCGTGTTATATTTCATCTGCAAGAGCAATGTGAACTGTTATAAACATCCATTTGGTCGTTAACTTTTAAATGCATGATTATGCGAAAGACCCGCGGCTGGCAGAACAACGAGCTACTTCTTTTCTCTCCAGTAGCCTGCTGTAGGAAGTTAAATGAATGAAATGTGGAGGATGTTATCTGTGACACGATGATTGACAGGCCAGTTCAAACGCTTTTGATCATTTACAAACGGGGCCTATAAAATAATATATATATATATATATATATATGTGAAATAACGGTCGACTCGGACTCGGACTCGGACTCGGATGCGGGGAAGCCGAAGGCGGGTCGTGGAGCAGGGAAGCCCCGCTCGGGGAAATCTCCCAGCGGGAAGACCAACCAAAATAACGACAAGAAGAAAGAGAAGAGAAGACGAAAGAAGGAACAGCAGCAGAGTGAAGCCAATCAGGTGAAAATCTGTGTCTTGTTCCATCCATCCATCCATCCATCTCTATCGGTCTATCTATCAATCCGTCTATCATCTATCTATCTATATATCTGTCTATCTGTCTGTCTGTCTATCATCTATCTATCTGTATATCGTCTATCTGTCTGTCTATCTGTCTGTCTGTCTGTCTGTCTATCATCTATCTATCTGTATATCGTCTATCTGTGTCTGTCTGTCTGTCTATCGTCTATCTATCTGTATATCGTCTATCTATCTGTCTGTCTATCTATCTATCATCTATCTGTCTATCTATCTGTCTGTCTATCATCTGTCTGATCTGTCTGTCAGTCTGTCTATCTATCTATCTGTCTGTCTGTCTATCATCTATCTGTATATCGTCTATCTATCTATCTACCTGTCTATCTGTCGGCCTGTCTATCTATCATCTATCTATCATCTATCTGTATATCGTCTGTCTATCTGTCTGCCTGTCTATCTATCATCTATCTATCTGTATATTGTCTGTCTGTCTGTCTATCTATCTGTATATCTTCTATCTATCTATCTGTATCTGTCTGTCTATCATCTATCTATCATATGTCTATCTATATTGTCTCTGTATATCGTCTATCTGTCTATCTATCTGTCTTTCTGTCTATCTATCTATCTGTCTTTCTGTCTATCTATCTGTCTGTCTATCATCTATCTGTCTGTCTGTCTGTCTATCATCTATCTATCTATCTTTATCTATCTGTCTGTCTATCATCCATCTATCTGTCTGTCTGTCTGTCTGGTCCTTTTATAAATCCATGAATTATCTTATCTATCTGTTCTGTATTTTGTTTGTCTATCTCTCTGTCTATTCTGTTTTCTATTCTATTCTGTCTATTGTCTATTCTGTCTGTCTGTCGTTTTCTCAGTTGTTAGTTCTGTATATCTTAGTTCAGTTGTTCATTCTGTCATCTATATATTTGTCTTTCTCTGTATCGTTCTGTCTGTCTGTCTAGAGCTATGTGTACTTGCCTGTCTTTCTAAGCAGTTGGGCCCCATGTTTGTTTCTGGAGATAGCAATGATGATGAGTCAGAGTTGATGTTTATAACATCCTTGCAGGCACAGAGGGTGGTGTGTTGTAGTAGTTCTGTTTTGGGTAAAGCATCAGCTAAATGACTAACAAAGAGTGTTTGTCGTTACACACTGCAGCTCAGAAGTCTTGCTTTTAAGAAGATCCCTCAGAAGTCAACAGCACCTCCCACCACGCTCACGCTGCAGGATTTAGCCAGTGATCTGATCAACCCGGCAGCGGTGCAGCACGGCTCCAAGCCCCAGGAGAGCTGGCAGGATTGGAAACAGAGAGATGAACAGGTAAACCTTCTCACTAAACCTCAGAATTTACTTTCACTCGGCCCATTTCTCTCCGGCTTTATGCAAACATCTTCATGCTTGTGTTTGTCCCAGCTGACCAGTGACTTGTATGAGGCGGATCTGGAGAAGGCCTTGATGCTCAGTAAACTGGAATTTGAGCAACATAAAAAGGTACCATACTAAGAGAAGATTAAATTTAACGACTCTAAAAAATGCCATGTGGTGTAACCATCAAGTTAAAAGTAATGACATCTTAATCAAATGTTTTAAATATTTTCATTTACTAAAAAAGAAAAACAAACTAGTTATTTATTAATTCATACCATTCAGGTTTACTTTTTATCTGAACTGTCCTTATCTTCTCATAAAAAGGTCAAATTATCTAATATTTTAAGATTCTTTGCACCCAGTCTCCAGTCCAGGAGCCTATATACAGTCAAACAACATTTCTCACATTATTAGTTTATTCGCTATAGTTTAGAAAATGGTAATAAAATATGTCAAGAACATGGAGTTAAACTGTCAGAACAAATTCATCAAGGTATGTAATGAAATCGGTTGAAGAGCTGTCAGCTGTTAAATTTAAGCACACAATTAGATAATACCACTTTAGGTCAAGCAACCAATTACCAAGCAATGCTTCATTTAGTTAAAACACTTAAGCAAAACATGGTCAGGTCAAAGTGTCTGAATAATTTTGGTCCCAAATGTTTTATCAATTTTACTGGTAGTCCAATGTATGAAGAGTTTTTGGGTATAATATGTCACAGTTTACTTTATTTTGCTATCCTCACTTACATAAATTAACTATAGTGTCCTGCATATATATATAATTTGTCATCCACCCACACCGCCCCCATCATCACAAATACATGACTATGAAGTGGCGTCCAGCAGTCATTGGCAATTCCTGTCATAGAATGATTGGCTTCATTAGTGATCACAGTCCTCCCTGGCCACACCACCTTAATTACAAGGTGACCCAGAAAATTAACTTTTTCCTGGCTACATGCAGAACCCCCAAGATCTTTTTATGACATGCAACCCCCCCCCCCCCCCCCCCCCCCCAAGATTAAAGAAAGCAATACAAGATAAAATATATTACCAAACTATTTAAGTTATAAAGGAAGTTTTCAAAAATGTTTTTTTTGTTTTTTATATTTTTCATATTATACAATGTCAGTACAGTTATATTGCCATTACATTTCTGACTTTCATGATTTAATCTCCACCCAACAGTCTAAAAATCAATATACAAATCAGTAGAAAATTAAATCATGGAAGAGGTGTATTCAATTATGTATGATTTGCATTCATGTATTTTTTTTTAACACATTAATAGATCAAATGATAAAAATGACTTTGATGTGATATTCAAAGCAGTCAATATCTTGTCGTATAACTCTGAGGAAGAGGCAGGCAGGGGAAGAGCAAGAAACAAAGTAATGGTATAATTGAATATAATCGTAATTCACCAAGTGTTATTATAACTAGGAAAGGCAGTGCAAAATTACTGCTTCACAACAGTATCCTTTGAGCTTGAAGTGGAGACCAACTCCTCTCTAAACTGTGATGATAATACAGAACACAGTATAGATTAAACTCTAACAGAACACAATTTAAAATAAAGTAATAAGTATAAATTAATATGTAATATAGATAGAATGAAAAAACTAATGTGAAACTAGTTGAAGAGAGATAGAAATAACATGAAGTGCGTCACAAATGTCTAGTATATTTGCTTTCTTTATGCTGCACGCACACTGGTTGCTATTAAGAGCTTCGCTTCCTCATTCTCAAATGATTTCCTAATTTTCCTGATATAATGATTTGTTTACCATCATTATACGTGGGGCTATGCAGGTCTTCCTAAAATTAAGCATGTTAGTGGAGTGTGTATATGTAAACCTGTTGATGAAAGGTTTATTGTTTAAATAAACTTTGAAAAAATGACTTAAATGGCTGTTTGGAAGTTGAAAATGGTAGAAACTATACATGTAGCATGGAAAACTACCTATAAAGGTTTTTTTTTTTTTTTTTTTGGGTAATACTTTTATTCCACAGGACG